ACCATTTTTCCCTACAAAGCATGAAATCCTTCTAAAGCTCGAACTCATCGATGATCTTCATCTGAGCACCCCACATGGCGTGTCACTTCTGAACAGAGATGTTGGTCTCAGGCTTTCCACTTGCATTTACTGCTTTTGATGAACAAGAGGGTGTCAGGAGGGAAAATGAGTGGAGGCAGAGGAGGGAAATAGGAGGAATTCAGGGGAGGAGGTGGAAAAGGGAGCAAAGAGATTTTGCTCACGTGTCTTTCTAAAGATGACGGAACCATTGCCTTCACTCAGTGCGTTAACATTTAATTAGCTGCCGTGCTAATTGCTGTTGCATTTGCTAAGGTCTCAATGGCAGGTGCAGTTCCTGGGGGTTCTGTGGCAGTGCTGTGCTGCCGGGGGGCTCCAAGGGCAGGAATCCCTACAGTGCAGCTCTGCTTGCACCCACGGGGCGGCTGTGGCACTGGGGGGGGAGTGCAGGGTGCCAAAAGCTCCTCTTCAGCATTGGGGCATGTGATAGGGAGCCTTAGGATCTGAGATATTGCAGTAACCATGGCTACCGGTGACTTATCTGAGGGAGTTTGACTTTTGTTTTGATTTTATGTGTCTTAATTGTAGTTTAAAAATCAGAACCTGAATGTGTTTTTCACTTAGGCGTGAAACTGAGGGCATTAAATGATTTGCGTTATTGAAGTATCTATAATGCTGCCTTTCAAACTTATTCTTGAGCAGAGCCCTCAATATTCACACTGTACGTGCTAAATAAAGTCACTGCAGCTTTGTGGTGGTTCTGTTGCTCTCGCCATAAAAGCTGTTGCAGGCTGGAGTGCTCAGAAGGTGCCTGGCCGGCTGTTTTGCAATCCCAAGCCCTTTGTTTATGTGGCACCGCGTACTTTATGTGAACACACACAAGCTGCTGCTTTTCCTCTGTCCTCTTTTGTACCCCAGCCATGCCCCGCGGGGTCCTGCCTTCAGAGCTCGTGTTTACTGTAGAGGCTGGAAGGTTGCCCTGCTTGGAAATCTTGCCAAGCCCCTTGAGTTCCTCCTGTATGAAACATTACCGAGCACCACCTGCCCAGAGAGCAGGAAAACGTGGGTGGATATGAGCAGGGATGCTGAGCAGGGATGCTGAGCAGGGATGCAGGGCGATGCTAGCACCACAACCATCCCTCCTTCCATGGAGGACCATGTGATGAAGGAAGAGTAGCAAAAGGCCAGGCACTTGTGTAGCAAAAGAATTTTTTCTCTTTGATTCCACGGCTGAAGTGTTTCCTGGTGTGGCTCCCTCTGTTTGTACTTGTGCAGGAGTTACAAACACGCTGAAATATGAACTCATGCTTCGTAAGCCTTTAATTCTCGCTTTGATGTTTTTAATCATCAGTACAGATTTGGTTCAAAAAAAAAAAAAAAAAAAGTGAAATGATTCATTAGCTTGAAATGCATCTTGGATTACGGCCGGTGCTGTGCAGAACAGGGGAGGCAGAGCAGGGCCAGCTGTCCTGAGAGCAGAGCACGGGTGAGGCCGAGGTCGGTGCGGCGGGCGGAACGTCGCCATCAGGGCTGGCAGTTCCTGCCTGTTCTTGGAGGCCCTCAAATGTCCCAGCCCATCGGCTTTGAGGTCTCGTGAGCATCCAGCCCTGTGTTCTGGTGCTTCCTCACTGTATCTGTTTTGGGTCTGTCATCAAGCAGTCCTTGCTTGGGAACATGACAGTTAGGATGTGGGCAGCGCGCTTGGGGTGAGAAGGAGCACACAGCCATGGTGCTGCAATAAGGGCAGCAGCAAGGGGAAAAATTCTGGGCTTGTTTGCCTTCCCTGCCTGCTGTCTGCCTGCAGCAGCTCCCTTAGCCCTCGCTTTCACCTTCTCCCCATGCACGCGGGTTGGTGTCGGTTGTCCCCAAGCTGTGGTCACGGATCTGTGCTGAGCTCTGTCCTGCAGTGACTGAAGAGGATTGAAAGCAATCTGGCTTCAGAACAGTGGCTTGGAGACAAATCCTCTATCCCATTACTTGTCCCTGGCAGTCCCTTCTTGACAACCAGGTGTCAGTGATGTCAGTGGTCTTGGAGAGGGCTGCCCAAGGCAAGTAGTCCGTCTTCTCAGTGTCTGCATTGAAATCCAGCTACGAAACCAACCTGTATCGCCTCCATTTGTGCCGTGGATGCAGTGGTACTCATGTGAAGATGCCTCTTCAGCTCTTCCCATACGGAAAGTGGGGTTTCTGTCCTGGTGAAGTCGCCTTTGTATCGATGTATTCATGTTAAAGACCCCCATCGTGTCACTGTTGTCAGACAGCCGTGCAGCCCATGGGATGGGATGTGCCGTGGCTGACACTCTTCCTTCTTACATCTTTCAGAGCAGGATTGCAGCGGGGCGCAGCCGTGTTGCTGTGGCACTGCTCGGCCCCACTGCAGCACACTGTGGGCACAGGAGCCCTGCAAAGCTCTGCCGTCTTCTTGAGAGCAAAGATGGAGAAATGAGGAAAATTCCAGAAGCTTGAGAGCCCTGCCTGCACCCATAAGGGCAGGGGGAAGGAGCAGAATAACCACTTTATCGTGCTTGATGAATGGCTTTTATCTCAAAGGATGTTCTGAACTGCTGGGAAGGAGATGCAGCTCCGCTCAAGTTTGTCTGCAAGGCTGCTTCTTCTGTAACAAAGTGTTAAGCAACAAATGCACGGCATATTCATATACTGTGCTTTGGATAGAGGCAGCCTCACAAAGGCACTTTCAAATGTTCAAGGCCTCCTTTTGTGCTGGTTTCACTCTGGCATCCCACTGCTGCTTTGCTCTCCACCTCCAGCAAGCGGAGCTGAGCTGGGTGGTGATGGGGCTGTGCCTGGGGGGTGGCAGCTTCTGCTGCAGGCTCCTTCCTGCCACCCGTGCTGCAAACTCTGCTGCTGTTTTCTTCTCCCTCTTTTTCTTCTTTTTTGTTTGTGAAGTTTCCTACTGATTCCTCATGGTTTTTCAGGTTTATCTTGCTTCCAGCTCACATGAGTTTCTTCTGAAATGTCTCTTTCAGAATGAATGAAGCTGGACATTAGCAGTGCTTCTCTTACTGTTGGGTTTTGGTTTGTTTTGCCTCTTTTACCTGGAAGATTGTGTCACTGCTGTGTAACAGGGAGAAAGGACCCATATGGGGAGCTCTCCTGGGGTTGCTGCTCACAATTACTGGTGAAATGAACTGCAGCACATACAAACTCTTTTCTTGTAGCCCAGAAATATCTTCTCTAAGTTTATTCTCTGGTTATTAGCAGTGGCTGTGGAAGTTAGTTGAGAAAAAAGCAAAGGGAGGGCTGTCTGTTCAGGTGCTGTTTGGAGAGGCACCCCCACGGGGAGGGCTGTGCCATTCTGTGGGTACAGCAGTCGTCTGTGGGTAAGTCCTTACGCCAGCACCAGGAAAAGGAGCCAGTGAAGAAAATTGCCATGGGAAGAATCCTGCAGGAGATGGAGCTGAAGGAGGCTGCAGTGAGCTGTGGGGCTGCCATCCCTCAGGTGTGCTTTACCTGTGCAGTCGGGGCAGTGAGAGCTGGCCTGGGGAGGGCAGCGTGCAGGACAAGGCCGTTTCCTCACTGTGATGTTTCCTCCTCTCTGCCCCGGGGGATTGCTCTGAAGAGAGGAGTCAAATGAGTTTGACACGATGAATATTCACGTAGTCGCTCCCTCCAATCGCTTTTTTCCTCCGCCACGGGAGGAGTGGGAGTGCAGAGATGTTTCTTGGCTCTCGAAGTCATGGATAAGGGTCTTGTCAGCAACTGCCTTTCTGCTAATCCTTTCTATTAGGGGAAGGATGTTGTAGCTGGACGGAGTTCTCTGTGCTCTGACTCGGAGGGAGGGATTTCAGGGGAAGCACAGCCGAGTGCTGTCAGCCATCCCAGTAAGAACCCGCATGGATTTTGGGGCGCAGTTTTGAAGCAGACTGCAAAAATGCATCGCTGCATCCCACAGCATCCCAAAGCACTGCGGAGCTGCGTTGGCTCCCCAGGGCTCTGATGGATGTGACAGATGTCCCCTGGCCTGCCTGTTCTCTAAAGCTTGCAGGAAATTGCAGTCTGATAAGTGAGGCAAGTTGCAAGTCCTGTCTATTGTTCCTTATCGTCTGAGGGTTGTTTACAGCCCCATCTTGTTATCCCATCTCCCACACGCTCCTCTGACCTCACCTACTTGTTTGGGCCTCTGTGTGTGGCTCCTGCTGTGGTGGTGGTGGTGAACTCTCCGGGTTGGTTGTTAGCAGATGGTGTGGATTTGTGGACACGAAATGCTGTTTTCCAGATTCATTGTCATCTATTTGTGATCTTTTTTCATGTCACGCTTCCCTAAAACATCCCTTGAAAACATAAAGCCCCAATAGCAGGTGGCTTCTGAAAAGCTAAGATCCATCCTGAATACTGACTGGTTCTTATGTGTTTTCTTCCCAGAAGAATTCAGAGAACATGGGATGTTGATCCAGAAAACTAGTTCAGAGTTGGATGAAGTTTGCGAGTGAGCCTCAGATTTCTCCTTCAGTTGGTGTGAGCGCAGCGCACAGCTGTGGGACACACTGCCCTGGTTGGCTCAGGAAACCTGCAGCACAACTGGGGTTACCTTCAGAGCAGCACAGAGTGTCGCAGTGTCCTTCCCACTCGTGCAGAGTTGCTGCTGCTGTTCACCTCCAAATGCAGCGTTCTCACCGACAAGTGCATTCGAGGCCAAGTGAATGTAGGAGCGATGCTCCACGCACTGAGGAACATGTGTGAGAGGCATTGGGAAAACCAAGGAAATATTTACACTGGGAGGGGATTGTTTACAGTGCAGTTCAAACAGTTGACGTTAGTTAGAGCAGCCGGTGCTGTGCAATATTCTGCTCTTCTCAGGAGGGTCAGGCATAAGGAAAGGATCAAACAGGGCGAGCAGGGCCGTCCTTGGACGGTACAGAATATCTAACAGCTGCACTTAGGTTAGGTGGTGAGAAGAATAAGCAACTGTGAGTCAGTCTCGTGGTTGAAGTCGAGGTCAGGGTGGACTCTGGGGTAGCAGCAGTGCGTGGACACCTCTGTTCATGGAGATGTTGGCCCTTCTTGCTGATGTTTGGCTGGTCCCAAAGCCCACGTGTGCTGCGGCGTGACAGGTTGTCAGTAACACACGAGTGCAAGTGAACGTTTTGGATGTGTCTTTTGTGCTGGGATAAGGGAATACAACCGAGGTACTGATGTCATGATGGTCTGTGTGGCTGTCGAGCTGGGAATTTGCTTTCAAACTGCTTTGTGTTACAGTATCTCCCCCAGCATGCTTTGTAGGTATACCACATATTGTTTTAATTTAAAACCAGCCTGTCTCTCTTGTTCTGTTTTTAGCATGGCTGACAAGAACAGCACCCTGAAATGCACGTTCTCTGCTCCTGGCCACAGCACCACTCTACTGCAGGGACTGGCCTCGCTCCGAGCTCAGGCTCAGCTGCTTGATGTCATCCTCACTATAAATAATGAAGTGTTTCAGGTTCATAAAGTTGTCTTGGCTGCCTGCAGTGACTATTTCAGGTGAGAATCTGATAGGGAAGCAGGCACTGTTACCTCTCCCCTGGGTTTCTGTTTCCCCATCCTCTCCTACCCCGACCTCCCCACCGTGCCCCAACATCACCCCCCCGCAGCCCTTTGAGGTATGGTTTGCACCACACGTGTCAGTGGGATTCCCTGGAGGCGTGTGGAGGTGTGGGGTCTGTCCCTCTGCGTTCTGATGAGGTTGTTCTGGGTTGAGTCTGGGCTGAGACCCATCTCAAGGGCAGGTCTTGAAGCCACCCCGAGGAGGATGAGGCGTTTTGTGCGTGTGTTCCCCAGCCCATAGGGAACGGCTGTCCCTCTCTGTGTCTGTAGAAAGCCAAAGCATGGAGATGAGCTTCCTTTGCCAAATTAAGGCACGGTGAACCAATTGCAGAGCAGGGAGTTCAGTCTAAAGTGAAAAATGGAGTTCATCCATCTTGCCTCCACTGAAGTCTTGTCTGACAGTTCTGTGGCACGGGGTTCTCTCCCCATTCAGCAGCCCCTTGACACGCAGGTTCCTTCCTGACCTGAGCAGGTGACCAGGAGCACGGCACGTAGGCCTCGAATGTCCCAGTTCTTCAGCTGCTCCAATGGTGTCCTTCTTAAGGACCCTCACATTTTCCAGGCTGTTCCCTTCTCTCTCCCTTCTGACTCCCCTCGGTAACATAAACCTTCCGAGCTTATCGCTCTCCCTAACCGGCATGCAATTAATGATGGAGCTGATCTTCCACCAAATGCTAATAGCACTATTTGTATTCATAAATGCTGTATGCAGTGCCACTGTTAGTGTGTTTTCCCTGTTGAAATGTAATTGCTGAGCGGGTTTCTTGCTATAAGGTCTGTGGCATTAAGTAAGGTTGTCCTGGGGAACAATGGCAGAATAATCTAGCTTTTGAAAATGCACTTTATGCAGAAGAGGGGAGGGAAAAGAGTGAAATTGAAGCATTTATACCATCAGCGTTTTAAAACCATAACACTTTCTCAAGGAATGGCATTTTATTTGGTGGTTTGTCTTCATCATGGCAACGGCGATGCTTTCCTTTGCTTATGCACAGCCAGCTCTGTACAGCTAATGCATGAGCACACACACATGCCTGCATCTCCTCTGGGGCAGGGGATCAGGCAGCATGCTGTTTGGTGACATGGGATCTGCAGGGGGATTTTAGCAGAGTGCTCTCATCTGCTGTATGGACAAATAATTGCGAACAGCGTTCCTGGTCACTCGGTTACAGAAAACTGATTTCATGTGCAGATATTTCCTTATTTAGGTCGTTCAGCTTTCTGTAGGGTTGTGCTGGACGGCAGCAGTTCTTCTAGCCTGGTTTGGACAGGAAACTTGGAACTCCTGTCTTTTGATAGCGTTCCCAAGGTATTTCTCTATTCCTGTGTTGATGCTAAAGAGGAAGAAGGTCTGTTCAGCATTTGCTCTGAGTAATTTGCATCATAAAGTCGTTGCAGCTCTGACAGTGTGCCTTCACAGTGAATTCACCTCTCAGACATGAAAAAGGAGGTTATCAATGGTGAAAAACTGGCCTAAAATGTGCAGGCAGTTTGAACGGTCTTTGGTGTGACAGCCTTTGTAGGCTTGCTGTGATGTTTGTACAACGATGCTGGGCGGTGAAACCGCGTGTCACCGTTCTTCAGCAACCTGGTTTGACTTTGCCTTCCGCAGAATCGCTCTGCTGCTGCTTCTTGAATGCTACACACAGCGCAAACCTTTGCCCCCCAGCCACCAATATGTAACAAAAACTGCTGAAACGTAATGTAAACCTATAAAAAACAATGTGCACTTATGTCCCCATCACGCCTGCAGGCCCCGTGCCTGGGAAACGCAGCCCTGCTTCAGAGCAGCAGTTTATGAGATGCCTGCGCAGTGCTCGGCGTGGTATGCGCTTCCTGTGGAATTTAGAAGCCTCCCAAGGAGGTGATCGAGGGCCTAATCTCAGCCTGGCCTGGTCAACTGATGTGCTTGCAGCTGTGCTGTAAGAAAATCGTTGTGTTTTTTTCTTTTTTAATTGCCTTCCAGCCCCCTGCTGTCGTACTGCAACATAACAGACGTTTTCTGAAGTGGTCGCAACTCCTATTTTCATAAGGCATTGGGAAGGAGCCTTGGAGAGGAGGTTCTGTTGTAATGACCAAAGCCTTGTGTAAATTCTATTTGCAATGGCAGCGTTGAAGCCCTTGGCTAACTCACCTCCGGTGCGATGGCGTTGCCTGAAGGCCCCTCTCAGGCCAGCTCAGGGGCTCGCTGACTTCTGAGCATGGATGTCTCCCCAAAGTATTTTCTTCTTTACGCTCACAAATCCTGCATAGTTGAAAATCAGGAAATTAGAGTTACGGATGCCAGCCTGTGCTGCTGCAGATCCCACTGTTGCTTTTGGCTGCTGAATATCAAGGATCCTTTGGTCCAGCACACAACGCTCCCTGCTCTGATGGCTCTGACCACTTCCTGGCACTTTGTCCTAAGAACCATTCCTGCATCCAGTGCCGGTGAAGCAGCACTGACAAACCCAACTGTGATAGCTGAATGTGACTTCTCAGTGCGTTGTTTATGCAAGCTGTATATCAGTAATTGCATGCTCTTTTTTTTCTTTTTTCTCCTGGCTTTTAGAGATTTAGCCTTGATTTATTCCCCCCCCCCCCATCCTTCCTAAGAGGTTCAGTATGTTTAAAAAAAATGAGAAGTATTACATCATTGACGCGCTATTAAAGAGGGGGAAATTTTTGTTTGTGTTCTTGACCTCCAGGGCGATGTTCACAGGCGGGATGAGAGAAGCCAGCCAAGATGTGATCGAACTGAAAGGTGTATCTGCAAAGGGACTGAAACACATCATAGACTTTGCGTACAGTGCTGAAGTGACTCTGGATCTTGACTGCATTCAGGACGTTCTGGGAGCTGCCGTCTTCCTCCAGATGGTGCCTGTCGTGGAGCTCTGCGAGGAATTCCTGAAATCTGCCATGAGCGTAGAAACGTGTCTCAATATCGGGCAGATGGCCACCACCTTTAGCCTCGCCTCCTTAAAGGAATCCGTCGATGCATTCACCTTCAGGCATTTCCTGCAGATCTCCGAGGAGGAGGATTTCCTCCACCTGCCTCTGGAGCGCCTCGTTTTCTTCCTGCAGAGCAATAAGCTGCAAAGCTGCAGCGAGATCGACCTGTTCCGCGCCGCCGTCCGCTGGCTGCAGTACGACCCCACGCGCCGTGCCAGCGCCAGCCAGGTGCTCTGCCACATCCGCTTCCCGCTCATGAAGTCCTCCGAGCTGGTGGACAACGTGCAGACCTTTGACATCATGGTGGAGGACGTCCTGTGCCGGCAGTACTTGCTGGAGGCCTTCAATTACCAGATCCTGCCTTTCCGGCAGCACGAGATGCAGTCCCCCCGCACCACCATCCGCTCCGACGTCCTGTCCCTCGTCACCTTCGGCGGCACTCCTTACACCGACAACGACCGCACCGTCAGCTGCAAGGTGTTCTGCCTGCCTGACGCCGGCGGGCGCCAGTTCAAGGAGCTGACGGAGATGGAGGTGGGCAGCAGCCATTCCTGCGTGGCCGTGCTGGACAACTTTGTCTACATCGTAGGGGGGCAACACCTGCAGTACCGGAGCGGCGAAGGAGCGGTTGATATTTGCTACCGTTACGATCCTCACCTCAACCAGTGGCTGCGAATCCAGGCCATGCAGGAGAGCAGGATCCAGTTCCAGCTGAACGTCCTGCACGGCATGGTGTACGCCACGGGCGGGAGGAACCGCTCGGGGAGCTTGGCTTCTGTGGAGAAGTATTGCCCCAAAGACAACGAGTGGACTTACGTGTGCTCCCTGAAGCGCAGGACGTGGGGGCACGCCGGGGCCACGGTGGGGGACAAGCTGTACATATCGGGTGGGTATGGGATTTCGGTGGAAGATAAAAAGGCCCTGCACTGCTACGACCCGGCCGCGGATCAGTGGGAGTTTAAAACCCCGATGAACGAACCCAGAGTCCTGCATGCCATGGTCAGTGCAAATAATAGGATTTACGCTCTGGGAGGCCGCATGGACCACGTTGACCGTTGTTTCGATGTTTTGGCCGTGGAATATTACGTGCCTGAAACAGACCAATGGACAACAGTGAGCCCCATGCGCGCAGGTCAGTCGGAAGCCGGCTGTTGTTTGCTAGAAAAAAAGATTTACATCGTAGGGGGGTACAACTGGCATCTGAACAACGTCACGAGCATTGTGCAGGTGTATAACACAGAAACTGATGAATGGGAAAGGGACCTGCATTTTCCAGAGTCTTTTGCTGGGATAGCATGTGCTCCTGTGATACTGCCACAGATCACCACCCAGAGATAACTGAGCTGCTGTGCAGGCCGTGGGGTCGCCTCGTGTTGCATGTCGTTGGGATGGCGTGTCGTTTTCCTTGTTTGCAAATGGTATCGTGCATTTTCTGGGTGAGGGAAGGAGAAAAATAGCTTGCGTTCCCTCCTCTGTGAAGTCCCTCCTCTTCTCTTACGTAGTGTTCTGGCAAGCGTGCTTCGTCAGAAGCACTTGTCAGCTAGTTAGACTTAGCAGATGTTACAGCTGGAAAAAGCTTTTCTCTTTTTTTCTTTATCTGAAAAGTGTGTGTGTGGGGAGGGGGGGTGGGAATGCATTCTGCCAACTTTCCATATTTTTAACAATATTACACATTGCAAACATTGACAGCTCAGGAGTAACTAAGTACTGTGGTATGTTTCAAAGAGTTCAGGTGTGATTTTTACTACTAGCTCCAAAAATCATTGTGTGTCGATTTGTTGTTTTTTAGCAAAGGAAAAAAAACCAAAACCTGTATAACACACTGACCTCCAGAAGCAATAAAGAGACAGCGGGAGCTGGAAGAGCTCAGGTGCTTGGGCTGTGAAAGCAGATCCTTGCTTTTCAGAGGTGATTTGCTTTGTTTTTCCCCTCCTACAAGGGGAATGCTTACCCCTGCACACCTCTGGCCTCTGTTGGTTCTTCCCTGTTTGGATTACACTGCAATTCCAGATCCCCTCCTCACCCCCTCCGGACATCAGCATGATATTCTTGTCCAGAAATTCTCCCTTAACTGGGGCATCCTTGGTTCACAGCACTGAAGCCATGTTGATAACTTGATCACACAGAAACGAGCACGATTTTTTATAGCTGCCAAAAATTTGTTTGGCTTCACTGGCAATAAGAGCTCGGCAGCTGTTATCTGGGCTGACCCAATACAGGCTGAAGCAGGGAGCACCCAGGGGCTGTGCAGGACCCGCTGCCTGCACGCATCACCCAGCCCGTTCTGCACAGGGAGGTGGGTGCTGCTCATTCACCTGCTGGAGGGTTTTCTCCCTTGACTTGTAAAGAGGAGCCTGGGTTTCGTGATGAGATGGAAGTCCAGGCAGAATGGCCTTTGTTGCTGGTGGGTGTTTTAAATTAAGAGATTGGTTTCAAGATGGCTCTGTCATTTTTGTGAAATCTGTGTCTGCTGCACAGAATACTGTTATTTCTTGAACTGTCCTTTCCTCCAAGCCATTTTTTTTTCTAATTAATTTTGACTGAGAAATGAAGTTTCTTCCTTTACCAGGCATTCTGTTTCAAGGGCTTTGTTTTGTACCTGTGGAAGTTGGGTTTTGATGGAGGTAGCCTTCTTTTCAGAGAAACTGTTGCGTTCTGCTGGTTAAATAAATGCCGTGCTGTAACCCTTAGAGACAACGTCTGATGTCTGTGTGGCGGATGAATCACTCGTCAGGGCTGTGCAAAGCATGAACTCCGTACCTCAGATTCACTTAAGGATATTTCTGACGACGGAAGCACTTTTGAGTGCTCAGACCTCAGCTCATTTCTGCATTTGAAATTTCAGTTAAAATGATGCACAGTTTGGTTTGTTTCTGTCTATCTGCTGGTTTGCCAATAATAAATGGATGGAAAGTGCTTGTTGGTGTTCAGAATGCTGAAGTCAAGTGGGCAAGCTCTGCTTCTGTGGTGTGCAGTGCAGCCAGCTCTCCTGGTACCACCGCTCCCATCTGTGGGCACTGCAGAGCAGGCGCTGAGAACGGTTTGCACGTCCTCTCGCTGGGACTTGCAGCACTGTGCTGCAGGGTTCCACCTCTCCTGGTTACCAGGACGTTCTTTTGATAGCGATATAAACAATTATTTTTTTGGACTCCAGCTGCTCTGAATTTAGCACAGGCTGGCTAAAGTATTTGTGACAGCGGTATGATCTGTACTGATGGAGTTTGTTTGACTCCTGTGAAGTGCAAAGCTGTGGCTCTGGGCTGCTCCATGCATACCCTGTGTGGTATCCTGAGAATAAACTGCTTCGATTCTCTGCGCTGAATGAATCTGATGGCTGGATCGGGCTCTTGGTGAACGCTGAAGTGATCTGGCTGTGCGGATGGACTGGAGCAAGTGCAGCTGAGGATGCTCTGCCTGAGGAGCAAGGAGGCAGGGCTCCGCTCTTCTTCAAGAATGAACAAAGCCAGCTAAATGTTTGATTGCACTCAGAGCCATTTATTAGTCTCAGAGCTGCAGTAAATGCTGTCGGGGTAAAACCTGATTTGGTATGTTTGAAAATACCTTTGAACAGATGGAGACCAGCGAGAGCACAGCATCGTTAGCTCAGGTATTCGCGGTGCGTGTGCCGTCAGGGCTGCTGTCGGGGCTGGGATAAGAGCTTCTGTCTTCTCTGATGTTTTATGGGCCTGAAATTGTGCTTAAAACTATAAAGGAAGAAAGCACTAGAACTCTTGGCAGGGTGCAGAACAGCTAGAGCTGGGGAATGTCTGCATCCTATTAATGGTGTCACTGACCCTTTTCCAGAGGGTCTGCCGGCTCGGCAATCCACTGTCATTTCTCCCCACACAGAACCTCACTAATTCGTGCAGACGTGGCCCAGCTTTTGGGAGGAGGTCTCGGAAGTTTAGAGGCAGCAGAACATCTCATTTCTTTGATTTACAGTGAAGGAGGACACTCCCACCAGCGCTTGGTAGCCTGTTGCTGATGTAAAATGATGCTATGCAACAGAACTGCTCAGGACCTCTTGTAAGCCACATCAAACCTATTCAGATGTTTTCACTTCCACGTCTGTGATAAGCTCTGGAGTTGCTGAAACTCTGCAAACTTCAGGAGCATTTATCATACTATGATTATTGAAGCCAGACTACTGTCAGAATAAATAAAACATGTTTCCCAGTGCAACTCTAATTATGATTTTGAGCCAGTTGTGTAATGCGCAGAACTTTTATTTACAATAAATCTTCGAGTTGCTTGCATAAATGAATGAGATTTCACCACTTGTGACTTAAGGACCGGGAGAAATGGATGTGGCTGAATAAATTCACTGTCTAGCCTGGGTGTGTCGGCATGTCAGGAGGGTGAGGAGCAGAGCTGCTAGCCGTGCCTTCCTAGGAGGGCTCGCTTCTCCTGCATTTCACCTGGGAGCGCATACGTAACACAGATATTTCTCCCCTGAAGTTATTTTTCTGCAGAGACAGCTTAGATTCTGCTCTGCATTTTAATACTGAGTAGGCACAGTGTCAGCCCACAGGCTGCAGAACTTTTGTTTCTCGTTCCAAGCTCATAACTGAGCTTCAGAAACACGCGTTCAGTGCTTTCCAGGTTAATATTTCAACTTCAGGGAGTTCTGGAGGGGAGTTTGAAGCTTTGCTCACGGGGTGGTCGTGGTTTCAGCTGCTCTAACGCTGCTGCTCCATCAGGTGAACACGAAATGGGCTTTCTGCTTGGAGACAGCTGCTGGTTTAGCTCTGCAACCTGAAATCAGCCTCAGATTGTAAGACAAAGGATTGAGATTTCGTACAGAGCAACGGTGGGGGCCTCCAGAGAGCAGCATCAGAGTAATGCGTGCAGCTTGCAGTGGAAAGAAGAAAAGCTGTTAGAGCAGAAGTATTCAGAGGACTTTATAAGCTGAAGAGAGCAAATCAAAGGTTCTTGTCTTGATCCCTGAGGCTCTGCAGTTGCTATTTCACACCCAGCCCCCTGTCACATAATTAGCTCCAACTATTTTTTATGGCTTCTTAAAAAATGAAAATCTTTTTTGCTTGTTTATGCAGGCTACCAGCCAGTGCTTCTGGCTACCCTGCTTTATATCTGCAGCAATCCCTTTGAAGTCACTGGAGTTGCAGTGCATTAACACTGGAGAGCCTAGAGCAGAATCCATCCCTGCAGATGGATGTAACATTTTTGATCTATGTCTTCCGGTCACAACGCTTTGAAAATGCACTAAAAGCCCAGTTTTACATGTGGTTATCTGGTGGTTCTAATCAGACTTCTAATCTGTGTCTCCCTGCAAGGTTTGCAATTGTTTGCTCGAGGTGCTTCCTTTTTCCTTTGGTTGCTGGTTATTTTCCCCTCGCCGTGGGCTCCGGTTGAACTGCGTGCTCCCCATGGGTGCAGATTTACTGCTTGGCACTATCAGTACCTGCACTCAGTATTACTGCCTCCAGGACAGCGGCTCACAACTGGATTTAGAAGGAACGTATGGATTTTGCCGAGGTTTGGAAAAGAGACATTTGCCCGGTGGTGCAGGTAGCATGTCTGGGCCTTAATTTTGCACGCTTTGGGGATCTCACATGTTTGTGCCAAACATACGTGCTTGCTGTTTCTTAGGAAGAAAACCAAAGCATATACCAGGTAGAAAAGGTTCAGGTTTAGTGTCCACAGATGCCCCCCATGCACACATATTCGCTCACTCTTGAGCTGTGCATTCTGGGGCACGTGTCCCATGCTGCTTGCTGCAGCCCTTCTCTGCTTTCTATGGGGCCATGCTGTGCTCGAGGCTTTTTCTTGTGGTATCTGAGTCTTTCTGACAGACTGGTGTGTTCTTTCAGGCTGCAGCTGCTGTTCTTACTGGGGGTAAGAGGAGGAAGGAAAGGACTCCATCCGCCCTGTTGGTAGTATTAATCTAGCAGTGTGTCCACCCACTGTAGCAGGGCAGCAAGCCTTGATCCCAGGCCAGATGTTCGGCAGGTATTCAGCCGAAGGCTTAAAGCTTGCAGTGGAGATCCTGCCATTTTCACAGTGAGAAACAAGTTGTTACATTCCTTTTGGGGATTTTGCAGAGCAGCAATTAGAGTTGCAGTGAACGACTCGCTGCTCCCATCCGAGAGGAGAAAGGAACTTCTTAGAAATGCTGCATCACAGGAGAAAAGCTTCGGCCTCACAGCGCACTGCTCTGCTGTCCCGGGAAAGCAGTCCTCACGGAGCAGTCTGTGCTGCTCTTGTGTAGGGCAAAGAGAGTGAAATCAGTCACAGGAGCCAGCAAAATGGGACTGTGGGGCTGCTTCCTCACCTGCTGAGCAATGGACTTTGTGTGGCACTCCTGCTCTACTGAAACGATTGTAACTAAGAGGTGCCTGGATTGGGGTGTTTGTCTCACTGGTCGTCGAGTTTTCATGCAAACATCATCAGTATCTGCAAACAGGTTTTCCCTCACCCTTTTTAATATCTTCAGCGAAAAAAAGCACAAGATGAGCCTTTAACTTACAGGTAAACATATGTGCTAAGGCCTGCAAATAGCAGGGGCTGGTTTTACCAGCAGGGTTGTAGGCAGGGAGTTAACTATGTGAAGCCTATTAGCCACGACTGAAACAAATGGTTAACAGTTTGAT